GTTTCTTCATCAGATAATTAGAACACTTGTGTTCAGGTATTTTCTGGCTAACTTCTTTCACTTTTGCATAATGTTTTAAGGCTTACTATGTTTTAACATCTATCAGAACTCTTATGACTGAATCAGATATCCATTATATCAACATATTAATCTAAAATGCTTGTTAATAAAGCAAACCGGTTGCAGAGTATCTTAGAACCTCTGTACAGCATTCCCAATTTTTCTAAAATAAAAACTGCTCTACAACTAAAAGAGTTATTAAAAGAAAACAGTCACAAGATGCCACTTCAGTCCCACTACAATAAAGAAGACAAAATAACAAGTGTGGAAGAGGGATGTAGAGAAAATGAATGGCCTTTTCATAGGCTGCTGGTTTGGATGTTAAATGGTATGGTAGCCGTGGAAAATAGTTTGGCAGCTTTTTAAACATAGGGATACCGTATGACTGAATTTGTTACACCACTTCTAGGTATAATGCAAGATAATTGAAAACATCTGCATACAACTTGCACATGAGTATTCACGGCAGTATTATTCATAATCCTAATGTGGAAAAACACTAAATATCCATTAATTTATGAATGGATAAACTAATGACTAGCTAAGTAAAATGAAGTATGTTGATAAAATAAATCATTATTCAGTCATTCTACCTACTTAAACTACCAGAACTGACAGAGAAAATCTAAGCAGACTCGTAACAAAGGAAGTTGATCAGGTCATTAAAAAATCCCCTCAAAATGAAAAACTGGACACAGGCGGCTTCATTCATTATATCTACCAAACATTCAGAGAATGGAGACCAGTTCTACTCAAAACTATTCCAGAGCATAGAAGGGAATAGGAAGCTCCCTAGTTCTTTTTATGAAGTATAAGAACATAAGTATAGCAAAACTAGGCAGAGGCATCATTAAAAACAGTTATACACCAGTATTCGTCATGAAAAACAACAAAAAAAATTCTAGCCAATAGGATTCAACAATATATTCCCAAAATTATACATCATGACAAAGTGGGGATTCAAAAAGTACAAAAGGGTGGTTCAGCATTAGAAAAACAATAAGTATGATCCATCATATAAATGCAACAAAGGAAAAGGATCACATGATCATAATGATACAGAAAAGGCATTTGACAAAATCCAGCGCTATTCCTGATTAAAAGCATCCATCAAAACAGTAATAGAAGGATAATTCCTGGACTTAAAAGTTACTTGAAAACCGGCAACATGCAGATTGACACAAGCTTGATTGCTGAAAGTGAAAAGAACTTGAAGCACTTGTTGACAAAGATCAAGGATTGCAGCCTTAAGTATGGATTAGAACTCAATATAAATAAGATCAAAATTTTCACAACTGGACCAATAGGTAACATGATAAACTAGAGAAAAAGGTTCAAATTATGAAGGATTTTTGCCTTGCCTGGATCCACACAATTGATCATGGAACCGGCAGTTGAGAACAAAAGACATTGCATTGGGTAAACCTGCTGCATTAGTCCCCTTTAAAGTATTTAAAAGCAAGCATGTTTGAAGACTAAGGTGCATCTGACTCAAGACATGGCATTTTCAACTGCCTCTCTTCCAACTGATTTGTGTTGAAAGAAATATGGCCAGAATGCTACGTAGAGGAAAGGGTGGTAAGACTTGCATACTTTGGTCATGTCAGGAGACCAGTCCCTATAGAAGGCTATCATGCTTGGTAACAGAGAGGAGCAGTGAAAGAGAGAAGGGCCCTCAACAAGATGGATTGACCTGTGCCTTTCACAATGGGCTCATGCGAAAGATCAGTTGTGAGGACCCAGCAGGTTTCTCTATGTTAGGTAAAAGGTGGCTATAGGTTGGAACTGCCTCAATGGCACATAACAATGACATACAAAACCAGTGGCCAATATTGCTCTCCAATGGAGAGAAGCTGTGAAAGCATTCCCATTGTGAATGTGAACCTGGCAAAGATGTCATATATCACCACTCCTATTTAACATTGTAATGGATATCTTAGCCAGAATGATAAATCAAGGAAAGAAAAATGAAGTTATCCACACTGGCAATTGAGCCCACGTGATGTAGTGGTTTACACATTGAGCTGCTAACTGCAAAGTCAGTAGTTTAAACTTACTAGTCTCTGTGCTGGAGAAATCTGAGGCATTCTACCGTTGTAAAGATTTAAAATCTTGGAAAACTCTTGGGGCAGGGGTAATTCTACTTTGCCTGATATTACTTTGCCTGATAGTCACTGTGAGTCAGAATTGACTTGCAGCAAGTTATTGAAACTGGCAAATATTCTATATTTGCAGAGGATAAGATCCTATATACTAAGAGCTCTTAAAAGAAAAGGAAACAAAACCATTTACAGTAGCCATCAAGAAAATGAAATACTTAGGACTAATTCTAACCAGAAAAACAAAAAATGTATACAAATCTACCCAGAGTGATTTACAGATAGTATGCGATCCATCATTCTTCAAAGAGATTGAAAAACCAATCAGTTTCATGTAAAAAGGAGACCCTGGACAAATGACACACTACTAAAGAATAATGAAGGCTAGGAGACCTCTTAGTTCCTGATCTCAAAACCTACCTATGCAGCCATTGTAGTCAAAACAGCTCGGTATGTATATGATAGATAAACAGACCAGTGGGACAGCATTGAGAACCTAACCTACAGATAAGATCAATCCATCCAGGTTCAGTTTGCTAATCTTTGTTACAGGATTAAAACACATTAGTTAGAGAAAAAATAGTCTCTCCAACAAATCTGGGTACCCATTTACCGAAGAATGAAACAGAACCAATATCTCACAGCACATATAAAAATGAACTCATGATGGATCAAAGACCTGAATGTAAAAACCCAGAACTATGGAAACTACTAGGGACCCATGGGAAACAGAACTGGGTGATGTGTGCGGACAAATCCTTTACCTTCATAGTTAAGGAGTCTGGGAACCTGGATTCCGATGGAGGGAGACCTTCACATTAGTAGGTTGGAGATACATTCTGGTCACAGTCACCTAAGTAAAAGTTATTCCCCACATTGTCATGTCCAGTCCTTCCCCTCCCCCAACAATAATTCCCAATTTTAAGGTGCTACTTGTAAGCACATGGTTGCGACTATATGCTTGAAGGTCAACTACTTGAAGGCTACTTGCCTGAAGGCTGTCTGCTATGAGAGCAATCAGACCATATTGCCTGTCCCACCCTAAGTAGGACCCATTCCCTTCTGATAAGGATCATAGATTGCTCCCTTGGAAAAGAGCTTAGACACCCAAGGTCTAGCTTGCTCAGCACTAGGGTTAGGCCCCCATCTTACTCTAAAGTCTGCCCATCTTGTTATGTATGTACTTTCTTCTCACATGTATGTCTCTAATACCTCCCCGTCTTACTGTGTGTATGCCCCTAGCTCAGCCCCTTCATGTTGTTTATACCCCTAATATAACCCTTTCCTGTTAGTATGTGCTTACTGTGGCTTGCATGCCCAAGATTATATATAAGCTTGTAAGAGAGTACATACGGCTTCATTCTGGTTCTAGTCTACATGGAAGAGGTGAGCCCTTGCTTGCCTTGGCTCATCTCTTTAATTTACCCCTCAAATACACAAACCCCCCCTTTGGACCCATTCGGATGTGGGGTTGGATCCCACAAAGACCAACGTAGAGGCCTCAATACATGCCATAAATAAACTGTCAATCATAATGAGAAATAGCTGCAGGCAAAATAGATGACTGGAATTGCCTAAAAATTAGACACTTTAAATGCACCACAAATTTACCCAAATAGTATAAAAAACCCACAGACTAGACAAAAATTTATGGCAATGGCATTTTGGATAATCCCTAAAATTCATAGAAAACAAAAATATCACTACAAGAAAAAGACATCTTTCATTATGATTCTGCTTACTTTTCTTGGGCGTAGTAGCAACCTTGGACCAAAGTATGAGGGAGCGCTTAGATTCTAACGAGTCTTGGGACATCCACTCTTTCTGAAAAACAACCTCCTCTAGATAGCCAAGTCCCAACATAAGCTTGTTCTGGGTGCATTCTGTTGCATATCCAGCCTGACCAAATCATCTGGACTCAACAATTTAACCCTGACCTTTCCTGTATTTAGTACATACAGATGGTATGAGGGATTTCAAGATAGTTTGTGGAAAATCTTTCAGTTCTCACCATGAACTTTTAAAAGTAGCCCCCCCATCCCACCCCCATGCATGTGCTCACGCTAGAGATTTGCCTTGTTTCAGCTTAAAACATTGTTCTTTTTTGGTGCTTAATTTTTT